ACATGTTAATCAGCCATGATAACATCTTGTTGCTATGGTTACACACCATGACGACTAAGAACTAATCAGTACTGATCCAACTGTGAAGCTTCACTACAAATAACTGTTTAAAAAAACAACAATTCAGAGGAAATAATGTTTTTAATAATAAATTAATACTAGAGAGAAACTCCAAGATGTCGCCTCATATGGCCTAGTCCAAGTCCTGCAGCCTGACAGACCTCTGATCAGCGCTCTGATGACACTCAGCCACTGGTCCAGGTGCTCCTGTCAGACTGAGAACATTTAGTGACTCAGTTAAACATCCAGGTGAACAGGTTCAGCAGGTGAACAGGTTCAACAGGTGAACAGGTTCAGCAGGTGAACAGGTTCAGCAGGTGAACAGGTTCAGCAGGTGAACAGGTTCAGTTTTTCTCCAGGTGAGCAGCAGATCAGTGAACCAATCAGAGACTCGGGTTCATCATGAGTCTCCCTGCAGCTCCAGGTGAGAACAGGTGAGCTGCAGGGGGCGGAGCCTCCTGGTCAGGAAGTCTCTGTCTCCTCTGCTGAAGCGTCTCACCTCTGATGGAGACAGAACCGGGTCAGAACCAGTCAGTCCTCTGGACCGGGTCCAGCAGGTTCTGCTGACCGTCCCTACCTGCTGGGCTCTGATTGGTCCGCTTCCTGCAGATAAGGATCACCTGCTCCCCGATGACATCACCACTACAGAGGGACAACAGGAAGTGCAGCAGGACGTCCTCAGTGTCTCCGTCTGTCCTCTGGAAGAGACACAGAGGAGGACAGAGACTCACCTGACAGGTAACAGAGGATCAATGGATCAAACATCAATCAATCAGTTATAGACAGAAATATTAGAATGTAACATCACAGTAATATTTTATCAAACCCAATAAACTGATTTGAAAAGATTCATTGAACAAATATTGATATGTGGCCAAATTCTGATTGAAACGCCGACGTCTGATCAACGTTTCTCCCCTTCTGGGTCAGAGCGTTTTATCATGTTTAAACTCTTTATGTTGACATGAATCAATGTAAAATCAACCCAATAATATTATTATTAATAACAACAACAACAATAATAATAATAATAATAATAATAATAATAATAATAATATTAATAATAATATTAATAATAAACATTTTATCTGTAGGCCTTTCTGGAGACTCAAGGTCACCTTGACATAAAAACAAACAAACAGTAAAACTGAGTAGAAAATAGGATTTAAAAAGACGAAGCAATGGCTGCTGGAAACAGCTGGTTTGAGTCAGAGAGTCGATGCTTCAGAGATCAGGTGAGTTTAGTGTCTCCATAGAAACGAGACGGGGGACAGAGAGACGGACAGGACAGGGTCTGAGGGTTCAGCTGTAGTGATGTGAAGGACAGATCTATTGGACCTTCCCCTGCAGGAGGTTTGGAGGGGAAGGTTATGGACACTTTGAGGATTTTATAGTTGATGGGAACCAGTGGAGCTGTGATGGATCAGGAGTGACAATACGAGCAGCTGGTTTTTAACCAACTGTAATTTATGGAGATTCTGTGGCAGAACAAAGAGAATCTGAACGAGAAGAAACCAGAACAGAGGAGGAACATCTGAGCTGACCGAACGACATCGAGGCTGACAGAGTTTATTACTGACATGGAGCCAAAGGAGAGAGAGACACCCAGACTGGGGGCCTGATGGGAGGAGTTATTAGGTTTAGTGTTGATTTAGTACCAATTAAGAGACGTTCAGCTTTATTCTAATTTAAGAAGGTTAAAGTGTTTCATTAGACGATCAGTGAGATGGAAGAGAATCAGACAATCAGGTTTGGCTGAGAGATGATCTGACCAAGAAGGTTAAATAATGAAGAGTAACAGCACAGAGCCATGAGGAACACCTGAGGTAACGGTAACAGGATGAGAGTTTAGCTGAACAAACTGGGGAACGAATGAAACCAGTTCAGAGGTGAATTAAAAAAGACGTCACCTGGATGAAACAGCGTGGCTCTGAGTGAAAACCCACCTTCAAACATCAACAATGAGGCTAAACCAGCACATCCACCCCACAAAGCTCCGAAGGACAAAATGACCACCAGGAAAACGAAAGGTATGCAAAGAGAGCTTATTGTTGGAGATGAGACAGTAAATGGAATCAGTCATGTTTGCAACCCCAAGAAAACCAGAGTGGTTTCTTTTCCTGGTGACACTGTTTCTGATTTACTCTCTAACCGCTGAGTGTTTCCCAGCTAACCCTGATCCTGATCTCAGCAGGTTGTTTTCTGCTGCCAGTTATCGGTTCATAGAGGCTGAAAGTGAGATATGAAGAGTTTAATAAGGTGGGATAAAGAGAACCAACTGATAAACTCTGTATTAAAAGTAACACTAAAATTTAAAGACATTGTTTATATAAAAATACTGGAACAAAAGTCTTCCTTTGGTGTTCAGAAATGATTTAACCAGAGAGAATAAAAATCATTTGTGATGTTCATCTCTGAATGTGCAGCCAGATAAAGTCTGGATGTGTTTTGGTGTGAAACTGTGGAACGAACTGAGTGATGATTTTAATTTATGTCCTTTATTGGTGAGTTTAAAAGGATCTGAAATGTAAAATGATAACATCTTACGCTGTAGATTTATTTATGTATTGTGAAGACGTCTTGGTATAAAACAGGGGAAGCAGGAATAACCTCGGCTTCAGCCTGCTGCTGTTTTGGTCAATTATGGCCTTTTAATTGTTTTTGTTTCCTGTCTTTATGTTTTTCAGGCCCATTATGATGATTTTTGTCTATTTTTTCTGTTTTCTTATAGACTTTAGTTGAATCACTTTTGTTAATATATTCTGGAGTTTGGCTAATTTCTTATTTTTGGTAATTTGATGATGTTACTTTGTGGCGCCGTTGGTCCACCTATAAATCTGTTGGGTTTTGACATGTTGGGATCGACGCTCTTCCTCTCATCCCACCAGAACCGAGGTTCTGTCCTGACGTGGCGCCGTCTCCAGTCGTTGTCCAGCTGACGTCTCCAATCTGCCATGTGGTTTTTCTGTTAGCCTTTGTTTGCTATGTCATTGTCAGTTTGGCCTGATGGACCGGTTGTCCTGGTTTCGATTCTTTATTTTGTTACGGCCCAAGGCCTTTTCCTTTGGGTCTCTAACATCCATGTTTTGGACTCCTTAATTGGTGCTGATTGGAAGTGGAGGCAGCTGGCCAGTGTCTCCAGATGACGTCAGATCCACCTTAAGATGCACCACTTTCTCTGACTAAGCAGCTCATTCTTCCTGTCTCCCTGCCACTCTCTCCCCTTTCTCCCTTTCTTCCCCAACCAGTTATGATTTTTGTTAAATAAATTCCCTTTTAAGTTATCTCTGGCGTTGCTTCCCTTTCATTTGTTATGGTTTAAGAGCCGGACCATAGCAATTTGCATGAGGTTCTTTTTGCTTTAGTCCGGTACAAGTAGGGGCTCCAACGGCCCGGTATAGGGTCGGCCCCCTGCTGTGCCGTTTTGTCCTGTTTGATCGGCTCAACAGGTCCAACTTTCTGTTAATACTTTTTGGGTTTTGTTTTTGTTTTTGGGACATGGAGAACTGGGGGCATTTAACTCTGTTCTTCACAGAAAATCAGAAGCAGCCGAACCAAAGAGAGTTTAAGAATAAAATATATTGTTGAGACTTC